AAACTGTATCCATTCTACTCCTAAAAGGGAGAATTGAATCTCAGGGGGCTGAACTGTGCCATTTCTGTCTGCTTCCCAGACATTTTTATTTCCTACATACACGGAGTATTCACAACACCTGGTTGGACAGGAAAACCCTCCATCCTGTGATTTTAAAAGTGATGTGTGCTATGTTGCACAGAGTGTTGAGGATGGGATTTGGAAATAATAATAATAATGAATGATGCTCACTGGTGCTGGATATCTGATTAAAAATGGCAGGCCTCTTGTGCCAAAGCCAGCCATAAAGAAGAGAGAGGGGGTGTGTGCACAAGACTTGGTGGAGAGGTAAAGGAGAAATGGTGTAGGGGAACCCTGAGTTGACAGGTGGAAATGAGAGGAAAGAAGTGTGTGGGCAAGGATTACTGTCAAGGGCACTGGGCAAGGGGCCAGTGGGGAAACTGGAAGTCATTTGGGTGCCTTGCTCCATTCTTTGGAAACAAGTTACAGTGTCTGCTTCAATCTAGGGATTGTGTGACCTCAGGAAGACTTCCCTTATTCTACCAAACCCTTTCTCTTTGGAATGACCTTTGGAATGCGCATTCGGCTCTGCACTCTCTCTGAGCTGCTTAAATTAGAAATTCACCAAGTTCCTTTCCTTTGTAGCTTTAAGAGATCCTCGGTTTTACTCCTGCCCCATCTACAAGAAGCCAGTTCGAACAGACTTGAACTACATCTCAGCTGTGGACCTCAGGACAGCCCAGGCCCCTGAACACTGGGTGCTCCGTGGGGTGGCTCTTCTCTGTGATGTCAAGTAACGTGGGAAGTGTCCTCCACCCAATACTTTGAAAAATGCAAGATCCAAATCGTCGTAAGCTTTATTCCTCTGTGAATGCTGGACAGTGAATGCTGAACAGTGCATAAATCAGGTTGCTTGTGGAAGTAATGAACTGCAATGGCTCCTCCCGTTCCTTAGTTAGATGCTTAATTACATGTCACCTGTTTTAGTGACCAATCTCTGTGTTTGCTGAAAATGTTACCAGTTTAGTGTTGTAAAAGTAGAATTTATAACTTCCTAATGAAGTGCGGCCCTCCAATCCACAATGAATTTTCTTCTTACCTCACTCAGAAGACCAACTAGGTTAAGCAGACAACATTTCTCTTGAATGGATTATGCTTCTGTGACCATGGTTTGGTAACAGCCAAGTTCTCTAAGGTAATGTAGCAAGTTTGTGCTGATTTTGCTTCAATTGCCTTTTGCATTTAGGTTAGGTTAAGAGATTTATTCAGAGTTTCAAGCAGCCAACTAAAAAGAAGTTTTAAAGATGGAAGGGAATAGAATAATGGGTGAAGAATGTAAATAGATAATTCATATAAAACTATAGAATAAATATATAGAATAATGTTCAATCTTACTTATAATTAATAAAGAGATACTAATGTCTATTTCTTACAATAAAAAATTAAAGCTAAAAGTCAATCACAGTGTCCTCTCTGTAAAGCCGTGAGACACTCACAAATTGCTAGAGCGATAAATTGGCCTAACCTTTTTGTAAAATGATTAAATTAAATTAAGCATAGAAAGAGCCATAAACATGTTCCCATGCTTTGATCCTTATTTTCTCTATACCAAGGAAATAGTTTAAAAGGCTGACAACAGATCATACATAGAATTGTATTTAGTAACAGAAAAAAAAAAATGCTAATCCCCTAAATGTTCAATAGTAAGACTATGCTTAAGGAAGTTAGGAGGTATTAGGAAGCCATGAAAAACAATATTGCAGATTTCATAACATGGAAATGGTAAGCACACACTATTAAGTGAAAGATGTACTTTACGAAATATTGAGTAGACTGTGATTATAACTGTAAAATGTATTTCCATGTGGACAAAGATTAGACAACATGAAAAAGTAAAAACAGGTGTGACAGCATGGTAAAGGTTATAGTTGGCTTGAAAAAATGTAATGATTAGAAGAAAAAAGTGGGAAAATGATATATGTTTTAGATGGTGTGTGGGATTTCACATGGGCTTTTGTTAATTAGAAAAATGTCATCTAAGGAACCTTTCATATGTTTTTATTTTAAATTCTGGTTGTAGGTTATAAACGGCTTCATCTATAACCTATTGACTAAAAAACTTGGTTGGTATTAAATTAGAATCGGGGTTTACAAACATTTGCTTAGCTCTGGATCTGCATGACTGCATGCTTTTCTGTGATGAAGGCTTTTATGGGCGGTGGGGGGGATGGGGAATGTACGAGGAGACAGGTACGGGTCCCTCTCACTAGGCTCTGTTCTGTGCAACTGGCTTTATTGTTTTATTCTAATTATAATGCGAGTTAGCCTAAGTGGTTCCTGTAACTCCAACATATCTCATATAATACCGTTTTCATTTGAGTAGCTTCGTTTGGTGTGGATTAATACAGTGTATTCGTTGATCTGTGTGAATTGGGATAAAACAGTCATTTTATTTTGAAGAACAAATAATGAAAATATGAACATGATGCAAATTAATAAAAAGTTATTAGTAAATGCCTGAATTGTAATTGATGTTTACTAGAAAAAGGAGTAATTGCCACTAAGTATCTAGAAATGAGATTTTAAAAATGGATATTTTTGTCAAGTGACTTGAAAGTGTATAATTCATACAGTTTGTGATACACACCTGTTAGTATGTATGTGCGGGTCTTGGAGATCGAAAATAGAAAAGGACACCATGAACACAACTAGAACATTTTAGGAACCAATTCAACAAAGAATGTGTCTGAAGCAGTGATGAGCCACTGAGGTCCCTTTCTACTTGTGCCCCTGCCTGACCCCCCCAGCTCCTCCCACTGAGGGTGCTGGGCATTCTACATGGGCAGGTGGGCAAGGGGACACCAATTTATTGAATCCACAGGGTGATGGAGAGAGTCTGTGACTGCCTTGGATGCGGAGAAAACAACAGCAAGGGGCTTGGTACCACTGAAGTCACAGAGCAGTCTTTTTCATCTGTCTCGATATTGATTTAGTAAAAAATAATTTATTTTGCACCTCCCGTGTGCCAGGCACTGTGCTGCACTGGTGGTACAATGGCAAAAAAAAAAAGGTGTCTCACTGCCTGATCTCACAGAATTCACCTAAGAGGAATAGATGCAGAGAATGAGCAATTATTCAGTTATGTAGTTATATGTAATCTCGATTTATGATTGTATAACATAACATACATGGGATATATAGAAAATGATATCAAGATTATGCTTAAGTGCTATAAAGAAAAATATTGGATGCCATGAGCGAAAATAACAAGGAGAGACTGCAGCATCTCGGCTGTGTCAGATCAGCGGCAGAAACAGCATCCCCATTCGTTTCTGAAAACAGAACACAACAGCAATGAGGCGCTCCCCTGAGCCAGAGCAGCTGCTGTACATCCTTGCCTGGGTTTCTGTGGTTTCTGGTTCCCCTGTGCAGCCCACAGCTGCTGGTGACCCTCTTTATGCAAGTAAGGACCTTCCAGAATTAAATAAAAGGGAAAATCTTGCTTCATAAAGAACTGTCTTTTTAAGCTTAGGGCTTACATTGCCATTTCATAGAAACTTACCTCAGTCTTTTCTGAGCTTCTGTTTAAGGGAACGTTGGCAAACACTGAACAAACTCAGTATTAGCAAGACCACGTCCTCATCAGGGGACAAAGCAGAGCTATGGTTCAGGTGATCTTGAGTAGCATCTCTACCCTGGACGCTCTTTGCCTGCAGAGACCTAATTTGATTGGGCCATAAGGAAAGGCAGTTTTGAGAAGGTGACATCTAAATTTAGATCTGAAGGAAAAAGGGAAAACGTCTCAGACCATCAGGAACTGGGGACTGGCCTCTTGCTCCCTAAAGGGGGAAAGCAAGCACTATGCCTGAAGAGGTGACAGGAAAGCTGGCTTGGAGTAGAGGACTGAGGTAGGCTGCTTTCTAAATGAACTGTCCCACCTTGTTATGATGCTGCCCATACACAGTAGAGGCTGATGGGAATCGTGTGTTCCTAAGTCACTGGAATGAGAAGTACTTTTTGTGTTAAATGCTTTTTGCAATGGAAAAAATCTCATCACAAAGAATTCAGTAGTAAGAAACATAATGAGACAACCACAAATTTTCTGGTTAAGTAGCTTGTAGGATTCTATAGTTGAGATAAAATACTCAGCAACAACAATATTATTATTGATGGTACATTTTTAAAAGATGCAGCATTGTATAAAACTAGATGTGTGAGTGAATGCTGATAACATAATTTCGGAAATTTTTGCAGCACAAAAACTTTTGGTAATGATAAAAATAATAAAATATATGAATGAGAAATTTTAAAGAAAATACTACCCCCCAAATCTGCAATACCCATCACTCCAGCTCCTGCCGGTGGCCCTGATGTGATTCATAATTGCTTTTACATTTTTAATAATTTTTTTCTTGCAATTATTGGGAGTGATTTTTAAATGTTATATTGTGGAACTGATTATTGTTGATTAGTAGCCCCTATTATTGTTGATTATTGTTGATTAGTCAGCACATCAAAATAATGCCACTTAAGAATAGACAAATGGTACACTTATATTCACAATATGGTCTCCCAGACTGAGTAAATGCTTTGGAAAACATACACAGATAAGCAGGTTTTGAAAACAGGAGAAAATCTGGTAGCATTCTTGAGGTTTACACATTCTGGTTAATTGACTGACATCTGCTGTGTCCGACATATGCATATTCAGTGTTCACTGTTATCTCCAATGAAGGAGGACAGGAGAGAATTCAAGGTCAGCTTTAGAATCTACTATGAGATTTGGCTAAGAAACTGTGAAACCACAAACGTGTTCTTAGCTGTCTTCAATGGCGAGATTTATTCTGTGTTGCACTTTAAACAAAACGAACCTTATCAATGTAAGAGTAGAATGTTGCTTGTCTAAACTGCATCCCGAGAGGCTTTTCTGGTTCTGGTCTTCAGCCTGGAAAAGCATAAATCTGAACAGCCAGATAGACAGTAATTATAGAAAGGATCCTACTCTCTCCTTTTATTTGCATGAAAAGAAATGAAAATGTAGAGACTGAGGGGTGTGTTGGGGGGGGGGAGGAAATAACCTGAAGGGGAGAAGGAAATATCTTGAATGGGATGCGATGATGGATAAGAAGTAACTTCACGTCTCTTTTCCTCAGACACTATTGGAATTTGTTTATTAGCAATAACCCCAGCAGATCAAGATGATGAATTGATCTCAGAACGCCTCAAATGAGCCTTTAAAAAATGGCTTCTTATTCCCTGGATTCCAAACTTTTCATTACGAAATGCCAGCCAGTATTATGACCTAATATTATAATTTCAATGCCTTAAAGAATTTAATCTGAGGTCTTATAAAAGTTCAGTCGGTTCCTCCCTCTTAGGAACGCCCATAAAGCATGTAGATTAGGCTAATGAGTATTCTTTCTGTGCCTTCTTTGTGCCTTCTCTGATTTAGGGCACCATTTAGTTTTCTAAGGCTCTGGATTTATAGGCATGCTTAATTGCTTCCAAGTTTGAGTTTATGTTGGGTGGGTGCAGATCCAAGATTGTGAGCCTTGTCCTCTCTTTAATTTGCATGCCAAATGGTATTTTTCGTTGGGTAATACGTTATTGCTCCTTGCTGTGCGTCATGTGGGGAGAGCCAAGACATATTGTGAAGCAGAATGCTCTGCCCCTGTTCTAGTAATATTTTATGATCACTGTAATGCCTTTCTTCATTTATTTCTTAGCTTAGGCTAATATGCACAGCATTCATATCAAATGTAATCACAAACAGACTAGACTGGGAAGCCAATTAAGTTTTCCCCAATATTTTGTGCAGGAGTCAATTTTAATAACACCACATGGAGTGTTCGTTCTGAGTAGCTGAGAAGGAAGAGAGATTAAATGTGATGAAGGACACTGAAGAGACTACCTGGAAAGTCATGGAATGAAGGATCACGAGTCAAAATCTGTGCTGTAGCTGATATTGAACACTCCTCTTTACTGCTGAGCACAGTTTAAAATTCACTCTTGAGCTTCACCTCTCTCAGTGCAGTCAGCTGTGATGTAGCCATTTATAATTTATTTATGCAAATATTTAATGCAAATCCCGGGGGACATGTAGAAAAAGAGCTTATAAAACATTTTAGTGTTTTATCATTTGAAAAGTGATCATTTGCATGCACCAATGAAACTTTTTGCTATTCTAGCAAATAGTGAAAATGTTTTTAGTGTTTCAGGAACATAATAGATTGCTATTGTTCACATTTTATATCCCATGATACATTATACCACTGATACTAAAGATTTATAAGTGGTACAAATGGGGAGCTTTAAAAAAGATGATTGCTGTAAGTTGAATCATATTCTTGGAAGACAAAATTTTTTTCTAGATATTTTGGTTGTATCAGAAATTGAGCATTAACTGGAGAATATAGCTAATGAATATATCCATATTTGCTTTAGACTACTTTGGTTTATTTTTATTTGTTTTTTGTTTGCTTTCCTAGTCTATTTTCCCCATGCTAAAAGTCCACAATAGTCTTCAGTGAAAAACAGCAGAACATATTATCTGATGCATATTCATACCATATAAGGTTGGGGAATTCACTGATAAATTTGGGCTGAGTGGGAAAAAAGAGAGAACTTTTCTTTCTTTTTTTTTTTGACTGGTAAGGGGAGTGTAACCCTTGACTCAGTGTCGTCTGCACCACGCTCAGCCAGTGAGCACACCGCCCATCCCTATATAGGATCCGAACCCGTGGCCTCGGCACTACCAGCGCCGCCCTCTCCTGAGTGAGCCATGGGGCCGGCCCCAAGAGAGAACTTTTCTAAGTTGGTGTTAGAAGTATAGAGTCATTGCAAATTGAATTATTTTGATCTCTGCTAATGATAACATGCTAACATTTAGATATAAGTATATTGTTACTAATACAAAATACCTTCTAAAATTCAATGACATGCACATGAACAAAAATCAACTAGCTTTTTTTGGGAAAATTTAAATCCCTCTGTTATAAAATATTAGTGGGTCCTTAGGTCAATGGTAAAAGAGAATGGGGCATCATCATGGAATTAAATAGATCTTAGCAATATAATTTCATACCAGTCTCTTCATAATTTATGACAATCTCATATGACACCAGAGCCCTGTACTGTGGCCTAAGATGTGTGACTGTATCTTCCTGCAATGACGTCCTCCTAGTTCTACTGGAATAGAGTCCGTGGTAGACAGTCCCTGCTATGGGAGAGTGCTTTAAGGTGAGCTTCTCACAAAAATCCCAGGGTGGTTTGCAGGGTTGTATAGACTGGGACAAGCCTTTGCTAAGTTGTGAAACCCACAAACTGTGTCTTTGCAGAAAGACCCTTTCATTTATCTTGTTTCCATTTTCAGCCATATCCTTGGCTCTCATCAGATGGAAACAGTTAGTAAACGGTTTAAAGTGAGAGCCTGTTGGAAGAATACCTGCATTTAGGTAGAGACCTGGACCCCAGGAGGCCT